GAGTGCTGTTTGCAGCTGGTCACACTCCCTTCAAGGTGGGGGTCCCCACGGGGGTGCCTGGCCAGTCTGGATGAGGGGCTGAGGGCTGTTTTCAGGCTGGCGGGTGACTGAGGCTCCCATCTCCTTTTTCCTTTTTTTTTTTATTCTGGGATTTATTTACCTTCTATGGCTGTCACTGGAGCTGAGAGCTGGCTTTAGCTCTGAGGCTCGGCTCCAGCTCTGAGACCTCAGCTGCTGAAAACAGGTTTCTGGTTTGTTTGGGTTCTATAATTGAAACACTGTTGCAACTCCAGCTCAGGCCAGCTGGCTGAAAGCATGGAGTTTGTTTAGCTTCTATATTTGCTCAGAGGCCAGCAGCAGCAGGCGGGGAACCTTGGCTTCTTCCATCACTGGAGCAAGCAAGCCTCCTGTTTGCTTCAGTTGCCTGGCTGCCAGCCGCCACCTTGGTTGGCAATTAATTAGCATATCTTGCTGATTAGCCAATGGGAAGGGTAGTGAAGTTACGGTTTATTACCATGTTTCTCTATTATTAGATAGGATGATGACCCCTACATTTCATTAGGTATTGTGACAGTATGATATTCCCAAGTAATTTCTAGAAATAGAACACAAATGTTTTATTTCTTCAAAATTTTATATTAAATTCATTAATATTTATTTATACCTATTAAAGACACAAGATTCCCCATGCATATATATACTTTACTATTATCTTTCCTGGCAAATCCAATTTTATTTTCTATGCAGATGCACACATCTGTTATCCACTATACACCTTACCATGCATTACTAATGCCTTTCCCTCTTCTCCAAAGCAATTTCCACACTTTGTATGCTAAAAAAAGAAATCAATCTAACTCAAGCCATCACCATGGTTATACAGACATGACTCTAGTTCAGATACCTACTCTGTTCCGATGAGCATTGATCGATGCATAACGAACTGTCCCTCGAAAGCCTGCCACAGCTCGAGGCTACAATAAAACCAAAAAAGAATAATAAATAAGCATGAAATAGCAAAAGACTCAGTACACTTGAGCCATAAAGTGGATGTGAGAAACATGTGCATTACTGTCACAATAAAACACTATTTAAATTTCTAATTTTTACCTGGTTGGTGTGGCTCAGTGGTTGAGTGTCAACCTATGAATCAGGAGGTCACAGTTTGATTTAGGTCAGGGCATATGCTTGGGTTGTGGGCTCAATCCCCAGTAGGGGGTATATAGGAGGCAGCCAATCAATGATGCTCTCTCACCATTGATGCTCTCTCTCTCTCTCTCTCTCTCTCTCTCTCTCTCTCCTTTCCTCTCTGAAATCAATAAACATGTATTTTTTTTTAAAAAGTAAAATAAAGTGGCATTTATAATAAATAAACTACATATATATTAATAAACATAAGCTCTGACCGGTTTGGCTCAGTGGATAGAGCATCGGCCTGTGGACTGAAGGGTCCCAGGTTCGATTCCGGTCAAGGGCATGTACCTTGGTTGCGGGCACATCCCCAGTAGGGAGTGTGCAGGAGGCAGCTGATGGATGTTTCTCTCTCATCAATGTTTCTAACTCTCTATCCCTCTCCCTTCCTCCCCTCCCTAGGCTGCAGTCAGACATCCTTAGCACTGCTGAGGAGGCAGGAGGGCTCCCACCACCACCGCTGTACTGGCAGCCATCAGCCTAGCTTATGACTGAGCAGAGCTCCCCCATGTGGGAGTGCCCTGACCACCAGAGGGCAGCTCCTGCATTGAACATCTGCAGTTAGGGTCAGCTTGCATATTACCCTTTTACTCTATATCACACACACACACACACACATACACACAATGCTAAAAAAAACAATTATATATATATATATATATACACACACACATATATATACACATTAAATGCTTTCATATGCTCAGAATCCTGCCCAGCATCATAGTACATGCACTAATATTCAGGCTCTGGTAAAAAAAAAAAAGTATAGTAAGACCATGAGGAATCTCTGAGGAATCTAAGATGCCTATCTCTTTGTGACTTGGTTATTTCATTCAAACTCCATTCAAAGATGGTGGCAATTTGTATCCCTACCTATATATGCAATTCAAATATTCATAAATTTAAGTTAATGAGTACTTACTATGTGCCAGGTACTGGGAATAAATCCAAACATGAATAATACATGATCCCAGTTCTCAGAGAGCTCAACGTAGGATAAAATTCAAACTTTTATTACTTGGCCTACAAAACATTCTCTGTCTTGGCACTGGCCTCATTCCACTTGATAGTTGCACTTGCTGGTCTCTTCAGTTGGAATGCTCTCTCTATGAATGCCTCCAATGGCTAGCTCTTCTCCATATTAGGCCCTCTACTCAAATGCCAGTTCTTCAGAGAAACAATCCTTAATTATCCTAGTAAAAAATACTACCCACCCCTGAAATGCCACTTTATTCTTTAAATAAAAATAGTTTATTGATTTTTAGATAAAGGAAAGGAGGAGAGAGAGAGAGAGAGAGAGAGAGGAGAAACCATCTATGTGAGAGCTTAATACTGATTGGCTGCCTCCAGCATGTCCCCTACCAGGGAGTGAGCTCTCAACACAAGCATGTGCCCTTAACCTGGAATCAAACCAGCAACCTCTGAGTAATCTAAGATTATACAGGAGGACACTCAACCAACTGAGCCACACCCACCAGGGCCCATTTTATTCTTCTACTCTGCTTTATTTTTTTCTCATAATACATTTCACTACCTAGAATTGATTTTATTTATACTTTCACTTTTTTATTGCCTAGCTTCTTCCATTGGAATATAAACTCTGTGATGGCAGGGTCCCTGTATTGCTCATTTTACAGACATAGAAACAGATTCTGAGAGATACAGAATTAGTCGGTGATAAAACCAGGCATCAACTAAGGTCTTTTGACTTGAAATCATAAACTGTTCAATTTTGTTGCTTCACAAGGATGGAATCAATAACCTAAAGATTTATGGAAAGCACCATAGCTCAATATGAAAACTGACAAACTTTAAAATAATCATAGCCAATAATTTTCACTAGAATTTTTATTTGCTATCAGTAATTTTAAATTATCCTCAATTAACATGCATTACTTTTTTAAAAAATAATGTTTTTATTGGTTTAGAGAGAGGAAGAGAGAGGGAGAGAGAAATAGAAACATCAATGATGAGAGAGAATCATTGATTGGCTGCTCCCTACACACTTCCTACTGGGGAGTGTGCCCTGACTGGGAATTGAACTATGATCTCTGGGTTCATAGGTCAATTCCCAACCACTGAGTCACACTGGCTGGGCAAAATGCATTACTTTTGTAGTCAGAAAAAGTGTATAATAAATGATATTTTCAACATCTTTAAATTTTACCAGAATCTTTTGGTCATATGCTATAAGATAAATATCCTATATAGTCTTCCTCTGTTTGCTCATTTTTATAATCTATGTTCAATCTATTCAAATTAATAGTCTATTTCTTCTTCCATGAACTTCTCTTCCCCCTTTAATTACTCCTTTCTGTTTTTGTTGCTGTAATTGTTAATTCTCAACCAAGGACATTTTTCCATTGATTTTTAGAGAGAGTGGGAGGGAGGGGTAGAGACAGAGAGAAACATCGATATGAGAGAGACACGTCGATTGGCTGCCTCCCTCAAGCTCCCAGGGATCCTCTCTAACACACAAATGTTTTTGTAGCACGTCATTTTGCCTAGTTATTTTCATTCCGATAACTGTTAGGATGAATACACCCAGACCTATTATGACCTCTGCAGTCAAGTCTATTGAGCACTAGACTCTCCCCGCAGTCCCCCATGGACTCTAGCCAACATAAGCCCAGGAGACTTTCCAGTTAAAAGTAGCCCTGGCCTGGCTCTGACCTTACTTCTGTCATTGCCATTGAAAAGGCTGAAATATAGGTAAAGAGGGATCAGCTGTTTTAGCGAGAGCTTGATATGACTGACTCATCAAAGAAATACTACCATGTCAACAAAATTTAGCCACCTTATACAATGCAGAAGAAACAATACACCCAGTTGGGGAAAACAGCTATATACATAAAGAATTCTAATTCAAAGCAGATTATAATGGACATCATTAGCAAAGTACAATGAGCTACAAAAGCCTAGGAGTGGTAGGATTAGTTGGAAAGGAAGAAGGAAAAGTTCTATGGAAGAAGGAAAAGTTTTAAGAATAAGGCAACTTTTAACTGGAATTTGACATAAGTTATCTCTTGAAACTTCCCTAATTGATGGCATTTTGACTGATAGCTTTCAAAATTACAAATGCATACATTCTTTCTGACTTGGCAATTTCATTTCCAGAAATTTATCTTACACATATACTTTGCATAGATGCAAAAATAGTGAATGTACAAATCTATCAATTACATTAGTGTTTGTGATAGCAAAAGAGCAGAATTAACCCAAATGTTCATCCACAGGGGACTGATTAAATAAATTACAGTACATCCATATAATAGAATATACTCTGTAGCTGCAAAAAAAAAAATAGGAAGAAACTCCATATCCTATATGGAAAGATCTAGATACAATGATAGGAGGGGAAAAGTGCAGAATGTACATCATGCTACTTTGAATAAAAAAGGGAAAAAGAATACGCATCCATATTTATTGTATATGCATAAAGAAATTCTGAAAAAATACATTAAGGAACTAATAACAATACAGTTACCTAAAGATGGAAGGAGGGACAAGGGCAGACAGGAAACGAGTGGGAGAGGAGTGAAATGGAGATTTGTTTCACTTCTTATCTTTTAAGTTTTTTTAAAGTCAGACTTTATTGAAGCATAATTTACATATAGTAAAATTCAGTTTAGGTATATGCAGTTCTATGAGTTTTGACAAAGATATATAGTCATGTAGCTATCACTGCAATCTAGATATAGAATATTTCTATCACCCCAAGTGTCCCTTAAGACCCTTTGTAGTCAATCCCTTCCCTCCACTCCATCTCTGGCAACCTGTGACTTCTGTCCTTCACTACTCTGGGCATACTAACTACTGTATAATAGTATCTCACTGTAGTTTTTATTTTGCATTTCCCTGATAACTAAAGATGCTCAGCATTTGCTAATATACTTATTTACCATCTGTAGTATCTCTTCTTTGATCAAATATCTATTCAAAACTTTTGCTCATTTCCTTTTTAAAAAAATTATTGGTTGTGAGAATTCTTTATAGATTCTGGATATAATTCATCAGATGTGTGTTTGCAAATATTTTTCCCCTTTTGTGACTTGATTTTTTCATTTGCTTAACAGTGTCCTTCAAAGAGCACAGTGTTAATTTTTTTTTTTATTGATTGATTTTACAGAGAGAGAGGAGGGGGGAGAAAAAGTAAGAAAAATCGATTTTTTTTGTCCTACTTATTTATGCATTCACTGATTGATTCTTGTACATGCCCTGAGTGGGGATCGAACCTGCAACCTTGGTATATTGGACAACACTCTAAACAACTGAGCTACTCAGCCAGAACAAGTACAAATTTTGATGAATTGTTAAGACTTTTATTTTTGCAACACATGAATATAGTATTATCTTCTCAAAAAATTACATTTAAAAACATCTTTAGAGAAAAAAGTTAAAAGTTAAAATGGTTAAAAACCTAACAGTGTGCTTTATTAAAACAAATACCTAGATATTTGAGTGAAAATTTAAAAAAGAAAAGAAAAAGTATATTGTGCTTAGAGGAACTGGCAGAAGAATTACAACAGGGAGAAGAAAATGCATTTTAAATAAAAAGAATACAACAATGCCAAAAGGGAGGAAAGTACTATAGGTGTTAGGGAAAAGAGTTTGGTGTGGCTGAAGCAAATGGTAAGAGAAAATAATGGAAACATAGATTGGGATCAGATTAAGGATGGCCTTGAATATCATAGTAAATTGTTTAATTTATAATGTGCAGTCAAATGGAATTCATAAAAAATTTTAAGTAGTGAAGTGATATGATTGAGAAAGTGCTTGG